TCAACATATAGGATACTTTTTACAGCGTCAAAATATCTCATCTCTGAGAAATCTATGCTAGTACTAAACGTTAAAAAATAAGTAGGTACGAACCCCAGCGGAGCAAGGGTGAGTTTCTAGTTAGGACATAAAAACATATTATGGACTTCAAATTTCCATACGTCTGTGTTTGTATTACACCATTTTTATATTTTAAGAACATCAGTTTTACTTTAATTTTGTTTATATAACATCTAAGGAAGATACAATAAATTCGTAATTATTATTTATTAAACGCATAAAGTATAGTAAAATGACAATTTAAAAAGCATTTATCGTTTATAGTAAAACCGACATTTTAAACCAAAGCAGCAATTTATCTTATCTATCTAATGAAAGTTAAAATATTTGCACAAATTGTGAAAAAGAAGTTTTATTTCCACAAACTGATACAAAGCAGAGCAATGTTTCGCTTTATACGAGGCATCCACTTCACTTTAACTGGGTAGCTTTAAATTTTCTTTCCGTGCTCTTTCCTTAACAAATTTTAAAACGGTCGCTTTATTTCTGTTTAATATTCGTTTGTCTCGCATTTTGCAATTTTGTACAAGTGTTCTCGCTTATTTCTACTTTTCAGGAGCCTTCAAATGGTAAAGTTGAAAAATAATGTGATGCTTAGATATTTTTCGCCAAGTTAGTTTCGCACGATCGCGTTATTTGAACGTGTAATTCCTTCTCTCTAATATACACAATGTTTCCTCTCCAATATTATTAGCATAAGTATAAATATAATGGGTTATGTCATAATTATTTTTTTCTAAGAAATAAATATGTTGGGACAGCACCACCGCCATCATCTAGCTCAGCACCATCTAGTTCCATGGTAAGCTACGAGGCTTGTGTTATGGATACCAGATAATTGATACAAATAAATATATAACTTTTGTTTGTACTCCGGCCATGGGTGTTTATATTTATAATATAAACGACTGTAGTACGAAATGAATGCCCCCAGCGGGACTTGAACCCGCGACAGCAGGCACAGCTAATAGGGTCACTAAAAACTGAGCCAAACGTGTCATCAAAAGCAAACAAAGAAACTTTAGTAATATTTCTGATTGACTTATTCTTTTGAAATAATTGAAAAAAATATGTTATTTCTCATAGATTTCAAGACCGGTGACAAGAAAGTCATCAACGGTCCTTTCTGGCACGAGGTTTTTACGGAAGTATACGAAGACACAGAAGAAGATGTGTCAACTACTACATCGGAGCCTTTGCCTTTTTTCGAGGATGATGCATCAACAAATAATGTGACAGCGCAATTGGGAAGTCGCGTGTATTTGCACTGTCGAGTCCATGATTTAGGAGAAAAAACCGTAAGTTCTTAATTATTATATACGATTTTAGACTTTTTCGATTATTATTTTATCTTCACAAGTCTTAGTAATAGAAAGGGGATTCAAAGTTAGCGAGAAAAAGCTATTAAATATATTTAAGCGATTTAAAAAAAAAGGCAAATTTCTAGGAGAATAAAGTAATATTATCTTTTTATCTGACTACACATGTAATAAAATTCTGAGGAAAATTTTATTGAAGTAGTAGTCATTATTATCGATACAGAGTCCGAATCTACAGTTTTTACAATTTTTGTCTGTCTGGGAACGCATCACGAGAAAACCATTGAAAGGATTTTGGTGAAATTTGGTGATGGTAATAGCTGGATATCCGGATCAGCATTTAAGATATTTTCACTGCGGGAAAATATCTCATCTCTGAGAAACCTATACTAATCTTAAAGGGACGAACTTGAGCGAGGCGAAGATGAGTCGCTAGTAATTTATAAAGATAGTATGAAATAATATGCTTCATAAATACACGGAAGTACTGCAAGTTTTCTTGTTAATAGTTGAGCTTGGAACGGAAGTGGTATGTTATCCGGTTTATCTAATGTTTAATGCACGGGAACCGGTACTATTATTACAATATTTAGTTTTTAGCTATGTATACAGGGTCATTTTTAATTTACTGAAAACCTTTTGGGAATATACTATTTACATCATAACAACAACATCTGTAAGAAAAAAAAAATATTTCTTAAATTTTACAAAAATAAAAATATTTTGATTGCATCTTCTTTATTATCATTACATTGATATTTATTATTAAACAAACACCTTCTTACGCAATTTATGATCTAAGAGACTGATGTATTTAAAAAAATTGTATAGGTATAATTTTTGCATCAAAAATTGACATTAATGTGCAATATATTGTGATTTTCAAAAAAAATTATATAACTACTAGCAGAACTCGGGGCTTCGCCCGCGCTAAAACTACAATCTCTAAAAAGGTAGTTTCATACAAACTTTCATCCCCTATTTTACCCCCTTATAGGATGAATTTTGAAAAATGCTAAGACCTGTATTTATTTAATTTTATTGAATGGTATATATACTAAGTTTCAAGTAATTCTGATATTAAATATTTTTTTGGATTGTATTATAATGTGTTTTCTCGTGGGAATTAAGTAATCTCCCGCGATAAAAATAGCCTATGTCTCTCCAGCCCTCTAAATATCTCCACACGAAAAATCAAGCCAATCCGTTACTACGTTTCAACGTGAAAGAAGGACCGACAAACAAACAAACACACTTTCACATTTATAATATTAGTATGGATATGAACAATAGTTACAGACTCAACTTACGATAGATACGAAAAAAGCTGGTAACACCCAGATTTTGTTTCCAAGTATTGTATAAAATATGATTTACGGAACTCAGCATTTACTTATACTTATAATAGTAGGGGAGCCGAAGAGGGGATTTTCTGTAGTTACTCGAGCGCGGCAGATTAATATACAGGGGGATACCTTGTACCCGGTTAAGTACCTCCACAAAACATGAGGCCCATATATAAGGCCGCCCGTGAAGGATACAGGATCAGATTAGTAAAAAAAAATTGACCACCAGAAATTCTCGAGCGCGTCAGATTAAGGTAGGGTGAGTTAATTACATCCTAAAAAGTGTATATTCCACTAATCTGACAATTTGAGAGTGACGTAAAAAAAGGGGAGGGCAACAAAGTTGTAAAAAAAAAACGTCATCTCGACATTCTCGAGCGTAGCTAATTTTTTTTTTATTTTGAAGGAAATAATTCAAGAATAATGAAAAATATATAATCTGACGATTTCCGCAAGCCGAAATAACAAAAATTCGTCGATAAAGTTAAATGCGTGCAGCTGCGTGATGCCTACATTTCCTTCTCCGCGTTTCTATTCCTCTCTCACTCTTTCTCTATCTATTACTCTCTCACTCCGTCCCCACTCTGGTTTCTGCCGCCATGACACCATCACAGCTGATCATAAAGAGTCTAGGGGTGTGCGAACATCGTTTGAATCGAATCGAATATCAATATTCGATTTGAAATTCGAAAAATTTCGAATAATTCGTAAAAATTTCGAATAATTCGAAAGTTTTCGAATAATTCGCGAATTAATGAAATATCTCTGGATCTTCAATTTGAGAGATATCGTGAACGAAAGAAAACCGAAAAAAAGTGTTTTTTCGGGATTACTCCGAAATTTTTGGTTCGATCAATTAAAACTTTTGAGAAAAAAAAATTATGAGGATAATAAAACTGCGTCGAATGCCGTCAACCGCGTGAAAATTGCTTGATCTATTCAAAAGTTATTGCGGTTTGAAAATTCCAAAAATAGTGTTCTATGAAACCTCTATCAGACTTTCGAGCTGGGAGAGCTCAAATGCATAGAAATATTATTTCAATGAACTCTGCGAGCTCAAAATATCACATAAATTATATTTTGAGCTCAAAAATGCCATAAGTACAATTTTAAGCGCACAGGAATGGAATTAGTGGGAAGTTGCAGGTATGGCCTTTAAGGTGAACCGTTTTTCTAATTTTTTTTTTGTCAGATCAGGCGAATCCCTCTAGATAATCGTCAGATTATGAGACAGTACGTTTAGAACATAAAGATGAACCATATATATCTTAATCTGACGCGCTTGAGTATTTCAAAATGGCGATTTTTTTTTGCACATTATGAAAATGGCCGCGAGTTTGCGTCCCATCGAAATCGTCAGATTAGTGAATGAGAGCTTTTTTTTGGTGCAATTAACACTCCCTTAGAAAATCTGACGCGCTCGATTAAATTTTTTTTTTTTCATTTTCAACCCTTAAATACAACCACCCGCATCATGCAAACGATCAGATTAACATACGTACATTATTAAAAATACGTAGGGCATTTATGCTATCAATATCTGACGCGCTCGAGGATGTCTATGCAACAGTTTTTTTTTACATATTTAAAAATCTATAGCCGCTTCCCCCACCGATGTAAAGGTATATATCATATAACATTTTTTTCTTCTTATCATCTAAGCTTTGCATCCCAATAGGTCTCTACGACGCTCGAGTAAATCCCCATTTAGCTTCGTGGGCTCCCCTACCATAATGTAAACAAATTCCTCAAATAATCTTAGATTTACCTTTCCTTCAACACTTTCAAAGTAAAATTGAAATGTATACTAAGTGCAGCGTTTTATACTATTTAAGAGGTTTTTGTGATAAAAATGTGTGGAATTAAGAAAAATTAACTCATATGCAGGATAGCTTTTATGTTGAATTAAAAAATATATATAACTTTAAATTTAAAAGAGAAATTACAGTTTCTCGCCCGCTCTTCCCAGAAAATAGCAGCCAACTCGAAAACTTGCGATAGCTTTCTTGTAAACTGAATACACTGTCGTCTTTAGTCAAGTTCAAAATAAAGTAGCGACAAAATCTGAAAAGATATTTGTATTTAAAATTACATATATTCGCGTAAATCTAAGAAAGTATCAAGTTGAAGATTTAAGAAATACTTGTAACAGCTTAAGTGAATAAAATATATTTCGATTTTGATACTCGTAGGCACAATGTGTATACATTTGTTTAATATTCAGACTAGCGACATACCTTCGCTTTAATCGATTGCATCTCTAACAGTAGCTTATATGTTACTCCATGTCATATTCTATCCGTGTGCTACATTTCACCCAGATCAGGCGTTTCAGCGTAAAGTAGAGACAAATATGTACATACATACATACTTACGTATTTTCAACGTACAAATACTTACTACATATATTTACTTTATAAATAAACAAAAATATATAATACAACATATATATACCTACTTTATAAAAAAAGGATTGAGAATTTTCTACTCTATTTATATGTCTCTTATTTATGGAAACACCGATAACCATAAAGCGACATCATGAAGTTAGCTGCATTCCTTTTACAAACAGAGAGTTGTAACATACGGGATGAAATCTTTAGTTATTTTTGTTCTGTTACGCCAAAGAAGTATAACTTCTTACGTGCGTACATAAGTACACACACACGTTTTTTTATTGTAAATTGTACATCCTGTTATACTGTTTCTTTCCCTAAAATAAATAGAATCAATTTCTTCCCTAGATTTCCTGGGTGCGACGTCGTGGCGAAGACCTACATTTGCTTTCTTTCGGACGTCACACGTACTCGGCTGATTCAAGATACTCGTTAGCATTTGAGCATCCTAACGACTGGAGATTGCTCATTCAGTACGTGAGTGAACGAGACGAGGGGTATTACGAGTGTCAGATATCCACCCACCCTCCGCTCGTTAGAAGGGTGCATTTGACTGTTGTTGGTAAGTGATATGAAAATTATTTTGTATTTCATGTATTGGCAAAGTCATTGTAAATTAAAAAAAATAATTTAACAAAAAATACACATTTTTAAATTGTATGATTATAAATTAATCGCAGATAAAAAAATTCATTTAACGTAATAATTTCTATCTATTTCGCCCTTTTTAATGTCCCACTGCTGGGCACGGGCCTCCCTTCAATACGAGGGGGATCAGGCCATAGTCCACCACGCTGGCCAAGTGCGGGTTGGCGGACTACACATGTCTTTCGAAAACTTGTTAGGTTCTAGTAATAATTTATTACATTAACTTCTATAATTTATTGTAAATATTTAAAAGTACATCACGTAAATTGTTTGATTTTACTAAAGTACCTAGACGAACCCGAGCGGAGCGAGGGTGAGTCGCTAGTTTTCTATAAATATAATATTGCAATCTATGCATTATTGTTATTACATAGCGTTTTTTTCTAAATTTTGATTTTATTCAATTGCACTATGAAATTGACATATGGAATCTTATGTAGAAACTAGGTAACTCATAGTTTAAATGTAAATCTATACGGGATATAAATGAGTTCAATATATTTTAAAAGTTCAGCCAATATTCAAACTATTTTATCAAACAAATGTAAGCAAAATACCGTGCGATTGAAACACACAATTTCTCCTTAAGCGCTCTCAAAACAAAAATTGAAACGTTTATTCTGAAACATTCTCAATCAAATCATTCAATAAAATTTATCTATTTTTATATAAAATATCAGACTATTTTAAATTCATTTTTAAGAGAATATATGGGCTTAAATATAATTTGCAAATTAAACTACATACATTTGGGATCTCTAGTGAGTAGTGATGAGCAATAATATTTTAAGAATAAAAGGAGACGTATGTTAGAATTTTAAGAATGGAATGGAATGAAATAGATGAATAAAAGGAAAGAAAAATGTTGTGTCATAATGACGACACGACGAGACGCGTGAACATTGTTTTGTATAATTTTAAAAGAATAAATAGTTAAGAGTGTTTTAGACGCTTTTTATTAGTATCCCCGGATCCTACATACATATAGTACCTATAGATAATTACAATGTACTAAAATATAAAAACTATTTTTCTAAAATATACTGTTTAAAATATTTTAAATTTACCGGCTTTTCATACATATAGAGGTAGTCTGAATGGACAATGATATAATTTTAAAAAAATACACTAATGCTAAATGTAAAATCTTGTCTCACATTACAATAACAAATGCGAAAGTTTGAGTGTGTGTCTGTATGTATGATGAAATTTTAAACACAGATAGACACGTAGATTTTGTATTTATGTTATTACTAGCGACTTACCCTTGTTTCGCTCGGGTTCGTCCCTAGCTTGCTTCCCAATACAAATTTTCATCCCTATTTTTACCCTCTTAAGGAATGATTTCTGGGATAAAAATCCTATATCCATCCTATCCTATAGCATCCTATATCCTTTCTAGAGACTCAAACTATCTTCTTACCAAATTTCATCTAAATCGGTTCAGTAGATCCAGAGATTACCCCCTACAACCTCACAAACTTTACCTCTTTATAATATTATTATAGATGTTCAGGCGCTGCCTGATAATAATGTTATGAATACAAAAGGCACCTAGGGACGCATCCGAGCGAGCGAGCGTGGGTAAGCCGCTAGTTGTAAATAAAACTTGAATTTAAATTTTATTTACATAATAATAACCCCTAATATAGTAATAGAAAAAAAAACCAAGTTACAAAAATCATAGCAAATTATAGTTAATATGACTTAGGTATATATATATATATATACTAGCGGACCCGACAGACGTTGTCCTGTCTACACGTCTTTAATTTGAAAATTTCAAACTTTTTTTAATAATTTTTTGATGAAAATTATTATTCAAATTGTGAATCTAAACCATTCCCAGATCCCCTTGAACACACACAAAAAATTTCATCAAAATTGGTCCAGTCGTTTAGGAGGAGTTCAGTCACATACACACGCACACAAGAAATATATATATTAAGATTAGGTATATATATATATTATATATTATATATATATATATATATATATATATATATATATATATATATTTCAAAGGTAATGTAACATTGCGGGCTACCTATACCTAGTAGGTACCGCATATTTTGTCCAAAGGTATAAATTGGCAAATTGCTTTACTAGAGTCTAGAAAGTTGTTACAGCCGTATATTTATTACTAAGTGACGTTGAAAATGTACTTATTTTGTCTTGAGGAATATAACAGTGATTCTCTGTCTTTTGAAATTGAGCCATGATCTTGACCATATTAAGCTTTTTAGACATTTGTTTTCCTTTAACCGAGCTTAAACTTCCTTCATCTATTTCAATTTTTATTTAATTTACCTTTAGATCACACACAATCTGTGAAATTATTAAGATAAAAATGATGTAAAACCCAGTGATTTCTATAAAAAAACATGCTAATGTCAGTATTTATGGTATTTTACTTGATTAAGCAAACAAAAAAAAAAGAACTACTTTCTTATATTTACATGAAAAGTTGAAGTTTTAAATTAAACAATTTTGCGTTTTTTTTTTGGTTTTTTGTTCCAAATTAAAGACTGTTATTTTGATTTTTGACGTCAATAATTGCGTCTTACAAATTCCTAAGAAAAAAAAAGAAAAATCAATCTCCTAACTTATACAAAATGATAAGAATCTCATTTAGTAGAACTGATAAGCCTCTATAGATTCGCATACCCCACTTTGAGAAACCTTGACTCATATTGTCATCCCAAGAGCTCCTGTATAGACATTCCTGTATTGAAGGTCTCGTCTAACAATGAGACAGATAAAATTCCAAGCACAATCTTCACCGGATAGCAGAAACCTAAAACGTCAAACGACGAATAAATACGAAAAATATCTGGCATAGGCAGCGTTGTTTTGTAAATACCTTACATCAAATTTTCTTCTGAGATCAGATATTTAGAGTTGAAAGGGTGACAATGAATATGTTATTCCATAAGTATTGACATAAGTGTGACATGGGTGTTTCGGGTGGAAATGACTTTTAGTAAATATTTGTATAAATTAATTTTGAAGTACTCGTACTATAACATTTATTGTATTGCCTACGCATTTTTTTATGATAAACTAGCGATTTAACATCGCTTTGCTCGGGTGTTTCCTAGGTATCTTTTTGCTGATACAAATACAAATGTGTTGGGACATTAACACACATCACCATCTAGTTCCATAGTAAGCTACGAGGCTTGTGACATTACTGTGGCTTGTTACTTTACACATATATAATATATTAAATACATATAAATATAAACACCCATGATTGGAGTACAAACATTCGTGCTCATCCAACAAATGAATGCCCCCAGCTTGACTCGAATCCGCGACCGCTGGCACAACAAGTAGGGCCACTACACACTAAGCCGAACGTGTCGTCAAATGTTTGTTATATATTTTATTGCTTTATTTCAAACTGTTTAAGCAGCGGACGCAACTAAAGGAACTTAACTGCAACTTAACAATAAAATTGAATTGAAATGGCCTTGAGCTTTTTCTATAATTTAAAATATAGTTTTGAACCCTTATTATTAGTTTTTCCTTTCCTTTTTCTTTTCTGCCCAATTGTAATCTTAATCTTTAGAAGGGCTTAATCAATTTTAAAAATGCTTCTTAGTAATAAATGATTAAAGCAGAAATGATGTAGACCGTCTCCCGGAAAATGACTGAATGAATGAATCCTCGATATGAAAAATATTGTCTAACGTGTAGTTAGTTTCATTAATGTTTAGGATAGTTGCGAGAATTAAATAATTATTCTAAAATTTCACTATTTTTGTTATATCAAGGCTTAAATAAAATCTTATCTTATACAATACTAGCAGAACTCGTGGCTTCGCTCGTCCTAAAACTACAAAAAAAACTCTAAAAGGGTAGGTTACATAAAAATGTTTATCGACTATTTTGTACTATATGGGATGAATTTCGAAAAATGCTAAAACACGTATGTATTTATTTAATTGTATTGAAGAGCATTAATACCAAGTTTCAAGTAATTCTGATCATAAATAATTTTTGGGTTGTATTATAACGTGTTTTTCCGTGGGAACGAGATAATTTTCCGCTGTAAAAAGTGGTCTATGTCACTCTCCAGCTCTCCAACTCTCTCCACACAAAAAAATACGCCAATCCCTCACTCTATTATGACGTGAAAGAAGGACAAACAAACAAATAAACAAACAAACACACTTTCACATTTATAATATTAAGTATGTAGTATGGAAGGATGAATGAATAAGTTGACTCTTAATTAAATCTCGGTCTGATGTTAAGTAGATTAACTAGTAAAAGCCTAATTAGTCTTACTTCATAATTCATATTCACCCACGTCATAATAAAATGTATTTTAGAAGACTTAGTGTAAGTTTTAGCAGAAATTTCGTGAAGTACACCTTTCTAACAGAACAGGAGAGACGGTATCTATATACGTACGAGTATAAATCTATACTAATTAATATTACGAAATTGTATTTGTAGGCTTGTTATTTTGTTAATTTGTTATTCCTTTACGTCTAATAGAGATAATTTATGGACTCGTCCGTAGCATAAAATACTTCTCATCTTAATCTAGTAGTTTTTATTGGATATTAGCTACAAAAGTTACTGAGGAACGCTAGTATGATTAAATGAAGTATTGATAAAATACTATTTATAAGCGACTTTATTATTTAATAACTTATTGAAATTTCTCAAAGCAATATTTTATTTCATACTCGCGTCACGATGCTGCCTTTTCATAATAAATGCATAACACACATACTAAGTTTTTTCCCCCACATAAGCCGTTTCGATGCCAACATTCCAGATAGCAATGTTTTGCGGCATAATTTCGTGCCAAAATAGCAGTACCAAATCCTATAATAATATTTTACAGGGTCATTATGCGTACTTTACCGCATGAAACCTATCAAAGGTCGTATCTTC